CAGCTGTGGAGGTCTGCAGCTGGCAAAGTTGCACTGGGAAAATGGCGCAGGAATGTGTGTGGGGGTCCAGCTTAAAAGTGAAACTTTCCCTTTATTTCTTTCACACAATGTAACATCCAGTTGCAACAGTTTCACCTTCCTGCCCTGGTGCATGCACACTGTGAAAATTAGAGTTAGGGCTAGGGTTCTGAGGCAGACGCACCTGCGGAGGTTCACCCACACCTGAACCCTAAAAACTCTTTAATTTAAAGTTTTTTTCAAAGGGCGCATGCTTCCCAAGGGCAGCTCAAACTGCAGTGCACCTGTTCACGTGCATTTACATCGGTGTCTTTTGCTCTCGGGTGCCCTTATTTCTGCCATACCTCCATCGCTGCATCCCGACGTACCTTTGAAGGTGCGCATGTTTTCAGAAGAAGTGGAAAAATGAGGCTCCTTTTTGAAGTGCACTTTCACAGGAAGAGGAAAGTACAGGGTGCTTTTTCAGCATGCATCATATAAAGACCATGCCTTCAGGTCACCCTCAAAACAACCCTTTTAGCCCATCTGCATCCCCCCAACAGTCAGCTGAATCCAAAGAGGATACAAATTGCTTTACACAATATTAATAACAGACAAAAATGGAACTGAACACATTGGTTTTCAGGGAGAACCTGGATACAGGTGTTTATAAAAAGCATCAGAGGTTTTGGCTTCCTCCTTCCTCTTTGGATCCAGTTGAATGCTATCAAGTAGTCTAGTAGAGTGTGTGTGGTGGTGGTGGTGGAGGAGGAGGAGGAGGAGGAGGAAGAAGAAGAAGAAGAAGAAGAAGAAGAAGAAGAAGAAGAAGAAGAAGAATCACCAAATGAAGTGCCAGCTGATAGCTCCCAGTCACTGTGGCAGTGAATTCCCTCTGGGTTTTAGCCTGACCTTTAAAGGAGCTTGAACCTTGGGGGATAGTGCTTAGCTGCTTGAATAGATCCAGCTGAAAGTCCAGAGTAAATATGAGATCCCACTGACATGGAAATCACTGCCTCTTGGTGTTAAAACTGGGATCCATGTCTGAAAAATGTACATGGGCATAGCTACCTAAGTCAAGCATTTTAGGAAATGGATGTTGGCCATTTTAAAGTATGTGAAGTGGATGTATGCTGATGAGAGGGATAACAATGTTGGTAACATAATTGTGTGGAAAAGATTGCAGTTCTCTATGATCCCGACACCCATATGATCTTATTTAAAGGCGGGTCCTTGGTCAGACTTCTCATTATCTCCTAGGTTCCACATAAGTGCTTCTGTTACTTAGGCTAGTTGACTTGTGAGAGGACTGTGCTTTGTATCTCATATAAAGTGGACCAACATCAGGCTGGATTTTTTACTTCTTAGAACTAAATCCAATTGTTTGTCCAGACTAGAGTTATCACTGTGCTTGTTGTGTACCTTCAAGTTGTTTCCAACTTATGGTGTCTCTAAGACAAACATCACAGAGTTTTCTTGGCAAGATATGTTCAGATGAAATGTTGCCTCTCTCTGAGGCTGAGAGTGTGTGACTTGCCTAAGGTCACCCAGTGGGTTTCCATGGCTGAGCAGGGATTCGAACGCTGGCCTCCAGCGCTGTAGTACAACACCCAAACCACTACACCACGCTGGCTTTCTAGAATCACACAGAAGCAACACTTGGCTTAAACCTAACTCCATTGATTCAGTGGGCTTACTTCATTTGAGACTAATAATTAGGTTTAGACTCTTGTGCCCTTTAGCTGTTCCCCTAAATTGGAATAATGAGTATGATAGCTTAAAAAGCTTATCACAGTCCTTCCATTGCTGGTAGAGCATTATTTTCCAAATTCCAAGTTAAAAGTATCCAAGTATCTAAAAATTAAAAAGCTATTTGTGCTGTGGCAGAAATGGTATGCTTTAAAATAAACATTTCAGTTCATGCTGCTAGATTGCCCTGAAAAAAACAAATTTACTCACTGCTGCACTAGAATCATTTGCTTGGTGTAACATGCATATCTTGATGTTTTCATCTGTCAGTTCCTGGAATCTTTGTCATGTGATTGTTCTGGGTGTCTTCCAGGCCACAGAGATAAATAAGGTCACACTTTTCATCTTCCACGGTAAAGATTTGATTGGCTTCTTTGCTTTTCTGACTCGTCAGATTTCCAGCTCCATTAACCTGCTGGATTTTATATGGGGAAAGCAGCAAAAGAAACTACCCCTTTTCAAAGCTTTGCATTAAACTAGAGATTCTGTTGTTCTCTATTGTTTTGTACCCTAATATAAACAGGCAGTAGTATGTTTCACAAAATAGGTAGTGGTACTCTCTTATCTTGTTTAACCATCAAGGGCAGATCCTCAGTTTGAGAAGCTCTGGAATCATGGAGTCAGACTGGGAGTACACAACTTGCCCCCCCCCCCCAAAGACTATTGGGTTCTAACTCTCATTATGCCTTATTATTAGCTACAACATTGTTGGGCATTGTATTCCAGAAACATCAGGAAAACCATAAGTAGTTCACAAGTTGGGTCAGATGTATTCAACAAAAGCACATAGGCTTGGTACCTTTAATATTTAAAATGTAATTTAATTGCTGCCATATTTCTTTTGACAGAAATTTGAATGAGCTACTGCTCTTAGCAGTGGATAATGGACAATGTCTTATCCTCCTGGCCCATTTCTCTTTCTCTCTCTCTTTCTCTCCACTTCCCCTCCTTTTAAGTGCAGCAAGGATGCTAAAATGAGAAAAAGCTTCTCCACCAGTTGAAGAGGAAAGAAGTCATAAGTCCTCCTGCTTCTTTTATTTTCTAATCCCCCAAAAGGATAAAGTCTTACAAGTGATTGCCAAAAAGCTGAACAAATTCAGAAGGAGAAAGGCATTTTGCATGGTTTCTTTTGTCAATTTATCCATCCCATCCCAAAGGATTTCTTTGTTTGGGTCTTGATCTCAAAATTTATATTTCTTTTCCATACTCTTCTAGGAGAGGGGGGGTTGCAGACTGCCAGAAATAGTGCAAACTGAGTCCACTTT